TGACCGAACGAAATGATACGCAAAATTTTGATGACAGTTCAACTGATGATAGTACTATGACACGAAAAACTAGAAGAAGAGAATAGTGAAGTAAGAATTAGAGAAGAGAACCCATTCCGAAGCCAATTGCTAATTTATTAGCAACGATGACTATACTCATTTATAAAAAATGCAATTGTTTCCATATAGAGCGCCAAGTTTTTTGTTGAATTCCTTCACGCGTATTATTTTAGAAAATTATAAAGTGCTCACCCCAACATATCTAAGAAAAATTGCCATCGCGGAGGGAGAATATCAATTTATTTGTACCTGCGCGGGGTCCGTCGGGCGATCAGAAGTGGATTCGAGGTATATTGGGTAACCAGAGGGGATTTCAGACACTTCATCATGATCTTTTCGTAATTTAGCCCCGTTAGGTAGCGTTACCGGGGCGTGATCGGCGACCGGTAACTGCCAGATACAAGCCCTGGCGCAAAAACCGTCGTCTAGTCCCGATTTCGCTGGTTAACAGACCATGGCCTGTAGTATTCGACGTGAAGTCAGCAGATTTTCCCCCTCCCCTCCCCGCTGCACAGCAAACCAACGCGACTCAACACCATAGCACCCCTCAGCCATCTTAGATCGCAGCCCTCATCAGTGAAACGCCAAACTCGGACGTGAAAAGTGCGCAAATTTGTGAAAAACCTAATTATGAATGTTATAATCCCTGATAGCGATGAAGACGAATCACAAGACATGTTCGCTGACACGGATGAGAGTGATTCATACACTTGCAGTATGACAGCCCAAGGAGGTTCAGTTGGGTATCAAAACCTAACCAACAGTCAACCTCCTCTCAATGATGACTTGTCGATTCCACCAGATGTCTTGGAACATGCACGAGATGCTGAAAGATATCCCATACCACCAGGATCTAAACCGATCTACGACAGGGCATATAAAAAATTCCAAAACTTTCTGAAAGAGAAGAATATTAAAATGATCAACGAAGTTGTTATGATGGGGTATTTTCATATGCTAGCAAGACCACCCCACTCACTGGTGCCCAAATCTCTATGGTCAGTCTACTCAATGCTGAAGTGTACCCTATCTGTTTATCATTCGGTTCAGATCGACAAATTTCCAAAGTTGATACTCTTCTTGAGCAGAAATCAAAAGTCGTCCGATCACATCATCAAAAAAGCTAAAACCTTCACAGATCAGGAAATAGCCAAATTCATTTTCACAGCATCTGACAAAGTCTATCTACTACAAAAGGTAAATACAATATTACTATGATGAATTTTCTGAAAATGAATAACCGAAAAAAAACCTATAAAAATTCCTCGCTTCACTTTTCAAAATTTTTAAAATCAAAACTGATATAATTTTCAATCAAAATCTCCTACAAAGTGGTCCTGAAAGTTTTAAATAAAATTTCCAGAGAGAAATATTCCTCGATATAATCCACTAAAATTCCGGAATTTTTTGGATAATTAATGAATTGATTGGAAAAAATAGTTAATAACAAAAAAAATTAATTCATTGTATCATTTTCAGGTGGCCTTGATCATCGGCATTCATGGCTTATGTAGGAGAAAAGAGTTGCACGATTTAACAATTGATCTCATCCAAGACCTTGGGAGAGGTCTTCATTTCCATCTGCAAAAAACCAAATACAAAAAATATCGAGATTTCACTTTGATAGGAGAATTTTGCGATATTGTTAGGAAGTATTTAAGCCTACGACCAGCTGATTTTGATAAGAAAAATCTCTTCCTGCGTTACGCGAATGGAGTTTGTTATCGTCAAGTAATGGGTATTCACATAATTGGACGCATACCCAAGACAGTTGCAACCTTCTTGCAACTCCAAAACCCGGAACTCTACACTGGCCATGCCTTTAGACGCACAGGAGCAACTGTCGCCGCTGAAGCAGGTGTCGATTTTCTTTCACTCAAACGACTGGGAGGTTGGGAATCATCCAAAACAGCCCAAGGGTATGTTGATACCACTGAGGTTCAAAAAAATAAAATCTCGAGAATCAGCAACGCTATCCTTACCAAAAGGCCATCTACTTCCACTGTGACAAAAGCACCTCAATCGAATCCAGCAACTCTCCCACGATTCAACACTCCAACGCTATCAACTTCGAAAGAAGAAGCACTACCCCCAGCAAAGAGTTTGAAGGTCACTGATGAATTTGATTCCAGAAGTTCAGCTCATTATGGAGAGAGAGTACTAGAAGAGAATCCTCATGTGCTGAACAGACCTCATGCTAACAAGAATATCCATCTCCATTTTACAAACTGCAGTAATTTTAATATCTTTGGTCCACGCAAGGCCGAAAACTCTCCATGAAACATGAGGATTTCCCAGATCTCTCACTCAAAAATTTCATTTTCTTAATTTCATATTTTTCTAAAATTTCTTTCTTATTATTTAGTATATTCTTTGAACCAAAGTTAACAGACTTTACTTTAGTCGACTTGTTATTCTTCGAAGACATCGTTTACGTTTTTTTTTTATTATTTTATTCCTCACGTTGAAAAATCGAAGAATATTCGATTGTATGATTATGCATCAGAACTATATTAATGGATAAAACTTTATAGCTGAAGGAGAACTGAAGTGGCATCAAATAGTAGGATAAAAAAATGTCACGCACTGCCAAATGTTAATGTTCTTCTTTTTTCGTTCATTGAGATAAATAATAAAAAATACAAAACCAACTTCGGTTGAATTCTTTCCATAAATAAATCCTCTGATATTTCGTAACATTGTACTGCTAAAGACTAAAACAAATTTTAAAATCTACTTTTTTGCCCTCTGATCATTTGGTTTTTCAACAGTGGGGGGGCTTGGCCCCCCCCCAACCGGGGCCTGCGGCCCCTGGACCCCGCTCCCCTCGCCCCCCTCTCCCCGCCGTCAACGAGGCTGCATTACGAAAAATGGTGTGTGCCACTCGGCCCGTGGCGTCGGTTTGCGATTCGTATGAGTTAGCAGCACGAGGCGTCGGTAAGTATAGGACTCGGCCCGCCTTCGGCGGGCCTCGTCCCTACCTTACCGACGCCTCGTGCTGCTAACTTCGCACTCATCGCAAACCTTCGCCTACGGGCCTTGTGACACAATATACCATTTCGGATGGCTCCGTTGTCGTGGAGATATAAAAGTGTCAAAATAGAAAAATCCTCTTTAGTTTCAGAGCCTGTACTCTAAATTTTTTCATCTTCCTTGGTAGCGGCCTCACTGGGTCCGCTCTTTTTACTATTTCTTCTGATCTTTCTTTTGTCTGTGGGAATTTTGGACACAGTATTCTTCGTCGGTGTCTTGACGGTGGGTGATTGTGAGCCATGTGATTTCCGGAGTATTTGATTAGCAGTTCCCAACGGTCTCTTGGGAATAAGTCAGTTATATTCTGAGACAGCCAGGTCCACCCTATATGTTTCAGAGATTATATCGTCGTGTGACATAAATCTCTAGACATGTTCTGTCTCCAGAGAAATGATTTATTTGGGTAAAATAAACTTCATTTGAATTAATTATATTAATTGGTGTAAATAGCTTGTAATGAGGCTTTTCTTCAAACATAAACCTAATTTTTACAATATGTGATTGAATGAAGAATGAAAATTGATGTCATTACCATTACACGCACTGATAGAATGATTCATTTATTCCAAACGAGATTCGTTAACTATTAACGAATGGTAGAGTTGAATATGACCAAATGAATATTCGTTAATAGTTAACGAATGATTCACTTCAATGGCGAAAGTCAACTCAAACAAGGCTCCTCAAATATACATTCGTTAACTATTAACGAATGAACATTTGGTGGGACCGAATAGACCCTAACCGCCAACCAAAATCCATTCGTTAACAATAACTAATCCGTTCTATCAGTGCGGAGAGAAATTTTTTTAAAAAATTCTAGTGCTCGCACGGGAAAAGAGGCGCAAAGTGACGGCCAGGAAAAAATTCCAGCGTCGGCACTAGAAATTTTATTGGGGAAAACGTGAATTTTTCCTCGTATTTCTGTGAAAATTTTCCAGAAATCCCCAGAAATTTTACCAGAAATACCAACGAATTTTACCTTAACAGCAAGAGAATTTTTCACAGCTGGTGGATTGTGATATTTTTTCAGTACTCGTACTAGAATTTTTCTAGAAAATTTCTCTCCGTGTACTCAATAACAAGGTGATAAAAAATACATTTTGTTCCTTAGTGATTCAAAAGATAATTAAAATGTCATTGTCGTTACTAAGCATTAATATGACATTAAAAAATCATCCGTATACCATTATAGATTACAGAAGTAATTGAAATTTGATATTTGTCATTGACCACTGATGTGGAAAAATATTATTGATGGAATATTATTTTCATGCCGATCTCTGATGAATGAGAATCCCATTGGATTCCATTCATTTTGTATCAATCTTTGATTGATATCTGATGGGAAAAAATTCTAAATGTTGATTTTTCCGAACGAGAACGATCACGCGCTTCAGCGGGCGTATTAAAGACGGATCGTGACACGAAAACCGAAAGCCGACCGAAGTCGAACACATGCGGGCGGATCCGAATGTTCGACCAATGAAATTCGAGGAATGAGCGTTACGCTACAGCTTACGGCGTATGTTCTTTTCAGAATAGGAATGTCTTGCTGCAGAACAAGCTGTCATTCCAAAAGAGGAACTAAATTTAATGAATGATCTTGTAACCATTCCACTGATGGTGAGACTGATCTCATTTCTTGTTAATTATTAGAATGTGAATATTTTTGACAGAAAGGTGTTCGTGAAAAGCTTCTATAAATATTCCTCGATTAAGAAATAGGTGAAACATTTTAGGTTAGCAATCCATTTCGCCAAGCATCACAACTAAACGATTCATCGTTCTCTCTCTCTCTCTCTCTCTCTCTCTCTCTCCCTCTCCCTCTCCCTCCCAAGCAAAACTATATAAATGACGGCTGATCGAAATGTCGCAGTAAGTGAGACTTCAGAGTATCTTCAAAGATGGTTAAATTCCTACTCATCTCGGTTCTCATATTTGTATCAGCATGTTCAACCACGGCAATAGATCCGGGGAATCCCTTCGGTTCCTGCAACACCACGGACAAAGAAGACTACGTTGTGTGCAAAATGGCCGCAAATCTGAACGTTCTGGTTCGAAACACTCAGGACGACTTATTTAACATATCACGAATTGATTTGACTGTTTACCCCGCTGATAATTCCACCACTACACCGCCTATAGAGAGATTCTCCATGGGGGCATTGCCAAAATCCGCGAGACTGGGGTCTGTATCTGTGCATCACGTAGAATTACACAGGGATTTTCATTTACCAAGAAACGAGAGAATCCCGGTTGTTAACCTATTCGATAATAACTTAACGGCATTCCCTACAAACATTACCAGCCGAGATGACCTATTTTTCATTCTGATAACAAATCAAAAAATCAGGGCTTTATCTCCCAATTCGTTCACCGCAATAATGGCCAACCTGAACACACTTAGTTTAGAGGATATTCAGCTGGAGGAAATCGAGCCAAACACTTTCACGCAATTGAGTAACCTGAACCATCTGCGCTTACGGAAAAATTACTTGAATGTTCTACATTCTGACATGTTTACTGGTCTTAAGCATTTGCAATTACTTGACTTGACAAACAATCAAATCCGTGCAATAGAGCCTGGAACTTTCGCCAATATATCAGATACATGGTGGTCGCTCTATTTAGGCGGTAATCAGCTGAAAGTAATTGAGCCAAACACTTTCACGCAAGTGAGCAAACTGCATTATCTCGGGTTAAAAAGTACTCAGCTGACAACCATCGAGCCAAATACTTTCATGGAATTGAGCTACCTGGGAGTCCTGGACATGGAGAAAAATTACTTGAAGGTTTTATCTCCTCATATGTTTGCCGGTCTTGATCAATTGCCCGAGCTTAGATTGGGCTATAACCAAATCCATACGATAGAGAAAGGAACTTTCATGCAATTGAGCGGCCTGGAATATCTGGATTTGGAGAGAAATAACTTAACGGTTCTACATCTTGACATGTTTGCTGGTCTTGATCGTTTGGAAAATCTTCGCTTGGAGGATAACCCAATCGATACGATAAACCTTGGAAGTTCTGTCAGTTTTTCTCTTCTTCAAAAAGTCTTTCCTGATGTGGACATGCTGAGTGTCCTTTCGGGATTTCCTAAGGAACTTAATGAACGCAAGGTTACTTATGTGACGGGTAATTGAACCATAATAACGTAATTTAAACGCGAAGAATTTTCTTTTGTATTGAACGGTCTTTAGGCGGAAATTCCTGCACAGGGATTCCATTAAATATCAGAAGTGTGTTAATTTAGAAATGTAGTTTTGAAATAAATTCTTTTGAAACACTTTATTTTCTTTTTATATAAATATAACTTATTGATTATGAAGAGTTTGGCCGAGAGATAATGAATAAACAACCGCACGAAATTGTAGGCTTGCTCTTGATTACATCATGGGCTTATTCTCTGGATGAGTCTTAGGATAATCGGGCGAGGAGGACATGTAGGAGGTGGGGCGGAGGGGTTTCTATTGTTTTCCTGCAGAAAACCAATCGCTGAACAAAGAAATTTTTCCCATTCGGATTGGAAATTCAGGCAATATTAGGGAGTATCTCCGGTTAAAAATTATTTTTGGAGCTAATCAAATTTATTTGTATCTGTTCCACGCATTGAATGGTTTTCAGATTGTTTTTTTTTACTAAATGAAAAAATATTAATCCATGCGAAAAAGTGGCAACATTGTCGGTAGTTTTTTTTTCACCAGGAGCTGGTAGGGGAGGGTGGGGCAAAACGGCCCCCCTTCAATTGTCAATAACTTGTGAATGACATTGTGAAAATTCCCAGTTTCAACTTCATTTTGAAGATAATTTTTCATTCTTCAAAACGAGCTCTAACTCATCCCAATCGGATTATTGAATCGGAAAATATTGACGATTGAAGGGGGGCCGTTTTGCCCCATCCTCCCCTACCACTGGCTCGAGGGAACTCCAATCACAACGATTCATCGCTCTCTCTCAAGAGACGTTCAAATTGACCGCGCTACCCCCACCCGATCGGTACTTGGGACGTTCCGCGTTTGGGCTGCGTGCGCAGAAATTTCACTTTTCAGTACTTTTTTCGCTATTATTAATGAACAATGCTTCTAGGCAACATATTTTTCACTCAAAAAATCATTGATCATATGTTCTAAATGTCTCTAAAGTTTCATGACTTTGGCTGCATTTTTTCCTTGGGTTTTGCAGTTTTTTGGTGATTTCCATAAGATCGCGGGTTAAATCACCACTTTTTCAAAAATTCATAATAAATTAACCATGTTTCCCAGCAGTCTGAAACGTTGCACACGCCTTTTCCATCATTTAAAGAATACGTAAAAAAAATAAAAAAATGGCTGCTTTTTTTCTAACACTCCGGGCTCGCCCGATTATCCTTAAGGTGTTTCGCCCGTCGATCGCCAAAGAAACGGGGTGGGGGTGAAACGGAAGGGGAGTCTTATTGCTCTCGAGCCCAGTAGCCAAGCCGAACTAACGATTTAGCCACCGCGACCATTCGACGTCGATTCGCTAGATAATTCTATTGGATTTCCATTGAAGATTCTATTACTTTCTGGTTGATTCCATTGATATGTTCAATAAAAAATATTCTATGGAACAAGTGAATAGAATTTTATTTTTGTTGGTAAAAATGTATTATTACTATAGTATAATCGACATCTACACACGCATGTTAGACTGACGGGCAAATTATATTTGTATTGAACTATTTATATGTATATGTAAACTCTTTCCCCCCTTCCTCTATTGTGAATAAAACTCTACGGCGTCTACTCTAAATATTGTATCCACGTTTATTTTCACCTGCTCCAATAATCCACTGCCATCAGGTTACGGGCCACATGAGAAAATTAAAAAATATTACCAAAAAGTAAAAAAAAATTTTGTGTGTCAAAAGATACATATATTTTGGTAAATTGAGTCAAGATAATTGATGTTAAGGTAAATCGAAAATTTAGTACCTAAGGTCCACGTTGTTATAAGTGTCAAAAAGTTGGTCATTGGGCAAGTAATTGTAGATCAGAGAAGGGAGAAAATAATTCTGCCAATAATCATCACAGAAATGACAACAGGAATTATAATAACAACAATCATAGCAACGGAAACAACAGTGGGCATGGACATAACAATGGGAACAATAACAACAACAACGATTGAAGGGTTATGTTTGCATTGTGTGCTGCAAAAAGTATAACAAACGCCGATTGGGTCATCGACTCTGGTGCTTCATCTCACATTTCACCACAACGAGAAGTTTTTCGGAACTTCAGAGAGCAGGCTGCAGTCGGTATTGTTACTGCTGACGAGACAGTCTTGGAAGCTGAAGGGATTGGAGATATTGAAGTTCCAGTGTGTATGAACGGTGAGCCAACAACATTATTAGTACGAGACATTTTGTATGTTCCACGAGCAGCAACGAATCTTCTCTCAGTAAGCAAAATTACGAAAAATGATTTTAAAGTTATTTTTACTGAACATTTATGTAAGATTAATAATAACGATAATCAAGTTATAGCAATTGTCAAAGAAACGTGTGGGATTTACAAATTGGATGTAGATAGACAAATAGTGTACCACGTCTCCCAGTCGACTACCACTGATGATGGAATATTATGGCATCGAAGATTAGGACATTTAAATCGAGGATACATGAAGTTATTAAAAAATGTCCTAGCAACTGGAGTTGAATACGATGAAAGGACGATAATTAACCCTTGTGATGACTGTGTTAAAGGAAAGCAGCATCGTGAGCCCTTTCAACCGAGCCACAGACGATCTAGAAAGGTATTAGAATTGATCCATTCAGACGTTTGTGGGCCGATGGAGTGTAAATCCATTGGAGGTGCCAGATATTTCTTGTGACTTGTTGATGATTATACAAGAAATGTATTTATTTATTTTTTGGAACAAAAGAATCAAGTAGCGAAAAAATTGAAAGAATTTATTGGATTTTATGAGAGACAGACTGGAGAGAAGGTGAAGACTCTGAGGACAGATAATGGGACAGAGTATGTCAATAATGACCTTGGTGAATATTTGACGAAAGCTGGTATCCAGCATCAGACAACGGTGGCATATACTCCCCAGCAAAATGGTGTCGCAGAAAGGTACAATAGGACTGTTGTGGAGAAGGCTCGTTCCATGTTAGTTGATGCGAAACTGCCCAAAGAATACTGGGCCGAGGCATGTTCGAGTGCGGTATATCTTTTGAATCGTTCGCCTACAAGTGGTTTACCTAAAAAAAACCCCTTATGAGATGTGGAATGGAGAAAAACCAAACTTATCCAATTTGAAGGTATTTGGATGTAAGGCTTTGGTTTTTATTCCAAAAGAGAAACGTCACAAGTGGGACGAAAAATCACAAGAATTGATATTTGTCGGATATTGTGAAAATTCAAAAGCATATAGATTGGTTCATCCATCAACAGGGAAAATCGAAAAAAGTCGTGATGTAATCTTCAAGGAGACACCTGGTCTAGAAATAATTTCTACAAGTCATAGTCAAGAGAAAAAGAATTGTTCATTTTTCCCAGTAGATGAGGATGTTGGAGAAGATGAGAGAAATGACACAATTCAAGAGGAACCAAGGATTGATCCACAATCAGAGGTTGAAGGAAGTGAAGATGAAGATGCTTATCAGCTGGCTGAGGATGATGTAATAGAGGATCGAGATGAAGGGGGAGAAGTTCCACTACGGAGATCATCTCGACCACATAAACCAGTTGTACGAGAGGATTTTATTACCTATCTATCATACGATAAGCACTCTTCAGATCCAGAAACGTCAGAGGAAGCTTTGAAGAGCCCTGAGAGTAAAGAGTGGCTTGAAGCTATGATGAACGAGAAAAGTCATTGACTGATAATAAGACATTTCAAGTTGTCAATCATTTATCAAATCAGAAATTGCTCGATACCAAATGGGTTTTTAAAACTAAGAAAAATTCATCAGGAGAGATTGAACGCTATAAAGCGAGATTGGTCATCAGAGGGTATCGGCAAAGGTCAGGGATCGACTTCAACGAAACCTATTCTCCTGTGATGCGTCACAGTTCGTTGAGATTTGTTTTTGCCCTTGCCAATAAATATAATTTAACTGTTGAACATTTGGATGTCGAGACTGCCTACCTTCATGGGGATCTTGAGGAAGAGATTTATGTGAAACCTCCTGAAGAGCTATTAAATAGCAATGAGAAAAATAAAGTTTGGAGATTAAAAAAAGCAACTTATGGATTGAAGCAGGGTGGCAGATCGTGGAATCGAAAATTAAATAAAATCTTGGTGGATTTGAACTTCAAGCAGAGTGCAGCTGATCAGTGTATTTATTTCAAGTACGTCAATAATAAAATATGTATTATTGCAGTCTACGTTGATGATATTTTGTTGGTGTCAGCTGATAATAATCTGAAGAATTCACTAAAGAAGACATTCAACAGCCATTTCAAGACAAAAGATTTTGGTGAAGTGAATCACATCCTTGGGTTGAGAGTAACTCGAGATTATGAGGAAGGGAAAATTAGTATCGATCAAGGTGCTTATATTAGAGAAATATTGGAACATTTTAACATGGAAGATTGCAACCCAGTGTCAATTCCGTTGGATGTAAACCAAAACTTGGACCTGCATGATGAAGCTGATAATGGTGAGCTAGAAGAGATGAGCAAGGTGCCCTATCAGGAAGCAGTGGGGGCATTGTTGTATGCAAGTCAAGCTACAAGACAAGATATAGCTCATACTATGAGTGTGCTCAGTAAGTATAATCATTCACCTCGCCGGATACACTGGAAAGCTATCAAACGTGTTTTCAGGTATCTCAAGGGTACAATGGATTATAAGTTGAGTTTCAGTAAGGGAAATGAGTCTATTCAAGGTTTCAGTGATGCTGATTGGGCGAATAATATATTAGATCGAAGATCTGTTACAGGATACACTTTTATCATGCAGGGAGCAGCTTTTTCCTGGGCTAGTCGACGTCAACAAACAGTTGCCTTGTCTACAACTGAAGCAGAGTACATGGCACTGTCTTCTGCTTGTCAGGAGGCTATGTGGTTGAGATTACTAGCGAGTGATCTAGATCCAGAGATGATAAAAAATTCGACTGTCATTCATAGTGACAATAAAGGAGCCATTGGCTTAGCTGAGACATCAAATTATC